TGGATGTCGAATGCCTAGGAAACCATTGGCGAAGGCTGATTTCTGGGTTCTTATTTTTCTAGATCTAGGCTAGAGTCAGGTGATTTGGGGCCTTTCCCAGTGGAACATGAAAAGACCACAGGAATCCAGTCCCTGTGAATTGGGACTTGTTCTCAACATTGTCAGTTACCAATTCTGTAACCACGCTGCTCTGAGCTTCCGTTTTTTCATCACTGAAATGGAGCTAATGAGCTTGCCTTGCTCCTAGAGTAAGGACTACATTGGATTAAATAGGATTGGAAGCAGAGTACTGAGCACATAATAGGTGCCTTCTTTCTCTGTTAAAATTGTCCCATGTTGTCATTACGTACATTTTCCCCTTCTCCTCAAGGCCAGGGATAAGGCACTTCTTTGCATCCCAGTATCTAGCTCTGTGCTTGGCTTAGAGTAGTAGGTGGTCCACAGGCGCCTGGATTAATTTTGACTCTTCTCCCCTGAGAACTGGGGTCTCCTGACTCTTGTCTAGGTTGTGTTCTTTTGACCAAGTTACCACTCTTTGCCCAGAGAAAGAAAGACGAGAGGGCCGATCAAAGTACAGGGAAAACCTGGAGGGACAGGATGGCTCAGGACAAAATCAGATTTAAGTCTGTGCTGTATAAGTTGATCTCAGCATTAATTTTGTTTCCATTAAAGGGGATATAGGAAAAAGATTCTTTTGTGGTTCCTAGTACTCAGGCTTTCATAAAAATCCTTCCTTCCTTGATGTTCCCTTATGAAATAAAGTATACATGAAAACACTCTGAGAACGGGAAGTGCTGTGTTACGTATACATGCATATGTAGAAACTAGAGGGACTGATTTCTAGGTAAATGATTGATTCAGAAAGATTAGCTGTTGAGTAAACATTCATTCAGAAAGATTTTTTAAATGCCTCTCATGGGCCAGGGACTCTCTTGGGTATTGGAAATACAGCAATGGATAAACAGGTGAATCTCTGTCTTCATAGATAGAACTTATATTCTAGTGGGAGAGACAGACAATAAAGAAGATAAATCGTAAAATTCAGAGTTTTGCAAATGCTGATTAAGTTCTATGGAGAAAAAAACAGCAGGCCAGAGATAGGGAGGGTTGGGGGGAACAGAGATTTTAGGCAGGTTAGTATGATGTATCTCTTTTCTTTCCCACCGCCACCCGTGATCCAGATTCCTAACCCAGATGGCCGCCTGCTGTCATTTTTTGTTTGTTTTTTAATTTTTTTAATGTTTATTTGTATTTGAGGTGGGGGGGGCAGAGCTGGGGAGAGGGAGAAAGAGGGAGACACAGAATGGGAACTAGGCTTCAGGTTCTGAGCTATCAGCACAGAGCCCAACATGGGGCTCAAACTTACGAACTGTGAGATCGTTACCTGAGCCGAAGTCAGACACTTAACCAACTAAGCCACCCAGGTGCCCCTTGTTGTCACTTGGGAGTGTTGGGGCAGTTAGGCAAACAAAAGAAATCTGCCAGGTGGTTGTCAAAATTTCTAATAACTTATTTTATATTTCTGTCAGCCATATTTACAAATATTACTTTATTAAAATACAAATAGACTTTTTACAATCTTTCTTTAACAATAGATCTTAACAAATACCTAAATATTTAAAAATCCAGAAGACTAAACAACTTGTATGATTACCAATAGCAGCCAGTGAACATACGGTTATTTCTAAATTGTCTAAAATTAACAATTGCTTTTGAAGCTGAAAGATTAAATCAAAGCTGTGATATTGAAATTGATTTAAAAATGACAATTCCCTTTTAAACTGTTAACGTGCACAATAAATTATTAAAAGGGTTGCGACTTTGAAGCATGAGGTCCGTTTGATTCTGATTTTCATACACGAAAAAAGGAAGAATACAAGAGTTCTGTAGTTCTGATCGCCTTTTCCAGAGCTTTTGGGAAGTTGTTTACTGTTCAAGGGCCCACTGCTGACGTCCACTCGCTGAGTAATGTCATCACATTTCCTGGTGGTGGTTATTTTGGGGGGGCAGTGGTAAGTAGTTGTCCAGCTCTTCTGGGACACCGCTCAGCAGAGGTCTTCAGAGCCGGATGTACCCCGTAGACAGGATGTAAGGTTAAAATGCAATCTAGTTAAGTAAATAAAATAAGTGTTCAGTGGTCAAATAGAACTGCTGAAACACTAATGCTTTAAAATGATACCGTTAAAATCATACTGAGGCAAAATTAATGATCTTTGAAAAATATGTAACTTCTTTTCTTTCTTAAAATTAATGCAGTGGTGTGTTATTTTTATAAGCTGAGATCATAAAATTATGCTATCCTTGTTCGTGAAAGTTATTTCATAACCCACTTTTGGTGTGGACCGTGTGCTCAGAAGTTGTTTTCCTGGGAAGGACGAGGCTTTGCCCTGCCCCGTTTATACTTTTTATCTCGTCCCTCAGCTTGTGACCAACACTAGATGCACGTATACGTGTATTTTTTAAAAACATCCTAGTCACTAACATTTTGCAATTTTATGAATTACTACCATTAACTTAATTTTCCTCCTCCTGGTGTCCTTCAGTTCGTATTGTTGACTTTCTCGAACTTAGTGACTTGAAAACGTGGTATGTTTACTTCATTCTTGTTTCACGACAGAAGAATTTAAGGCTATGAATCTTGACTTTGAGTAAAATGTACCAGTATCCTGGAAGTTTCATTGCGTGATATTCTCATTTTTATTCTTTTCCGGGTACTCTGTACGAGTAGTTTGCATTTCTCTCTCTGACCCAGCAATTATAAGTTAATGTTTAAAACTTTTTCAGGGCGGGGGTTTTTGTTGATTTTGCTTAAACGCCGTGTTTTTCATTTCTGGTTTGCTTGCATTATGGTTGAAGAATAAAAAGAGTACCATCTTGGCATGCCTGGGTGGCTTAGTCGGTTAAGCGTCCGACTTTCGCTTAGGTCATGATCTCGCGGTTCATGGGTTCGGGCCCCGCGTCGGGCTCTGTGCTGACTGCCAGCTCAGAGCCTGGAGCCTGTTTCAGTCTGTGACTCCCTCTCTCTCTGACCCTCCCCTGCTCACGCTGTCTCTCTCTCTCTCTCTCTCTCTCTCCTAGAAATAAATAAAACATTAAAAAAAAATTTTTTTTTAAAAAAAGTACCATCTTTACTTTTAGGAATATGTTTCAAGGTTTTCTCTGTGATCTAGAATATCACATGTATTTACCCTATTCATAAATATTTTCTTTCTCTCCTTTCAGACTTTCTTTTTTTGTCTACCTGATCCTTCATAGCCAATTTCATAAGTGTCCTCACTCAGAGGCTCCAGCTCCCGATTCAGGTCAAGGACGCAAGTGCTGCCTGGCAACTTCTTTACCTTGGGGGAGGGGGTGGGGGAGGTGGCATCGGGCTTGCTGTTCTGGTGTCTGCTTTCTCCTCTGAAACTGTCCCCCATACTATAGAACGTCAGTGGAAATGATTTTCCTTCCCGTTCTATTTCCTGTCACTTTCTTCCTTGTATTCTTCAGGCAATAGGTCCGTATCATTCCTTTTCTTTCATTCATTCATTCCCTTAAACTTTGTAAAAACCAACAAGAAGCTCATTGTTCAGATTGGTCTCTCTCGGTGCCTCTTGCTTTCCTTCTCAGTGCACTGTGGGAGTTTGAGGATTCAGACCAGACCTCTCTTTTAGGACTCTGCAGGCCCTCTGGGATTGTCTGGCCTCGGGACCCAGCTGTGCCCCTCACTGGGAGGCTGGCCTGCAGGAGGGTAGGCGGTGCCGTGGGAGGTCACAGAATCCTCCTCAGTCTTAGACTGCGGTAATGGCGGCCCTCATTCTTCTCAGGCCTTCCGAGAGATGAAATTATTAGCAAATCAGACACTAAGCTGGTGTCCCACGACTGGTAGACATCAGCCTCTAGCAGTGAAAAATAAACAGCCCCACCACCACCAAGCAGGCTTTGTTCCGAGTGTTGACTGGAGGACAGATCACCACCTGAGAGGAGAGGCTGGAGGTGGCAGTCAGGTAGGAAAGAACCTTGCGGGAAGGCTCCTACATTAGGTCTTCTGCAGAATTTTTTTTTTAATTTTAATTTTTTCCTATGGAATCATACCACCCCCCAGAGGCCTGGGGATCCCCCAACACATACAATGTTTCTGGAAATGTGTATCCTCTGGGGAGCAAGTCAGTGCCAGCGTCCATCACTTGAGGCTGTATTTCAGCCCCACGTTCTTCCTCCCTTGGGCTCCTTCATGCGGTGCACAGACTGCCCAAACTTCCCAGGGACCTGGGTTTGCAGCGAAACCCCAACTGCCACTTGCTGACTGTGTGGCCTTAAACAAGGTATTTGGAACCTCAGTTTTCCAGCTGTAAACCTCACTATTACTGTGAAGATTCAGCGAGATGACGCACGTTCAGCTCTAGGATACACTAAGCCCCTCCACTGGCGCTGTGATTGTTGTTACTCATAGGGGTTTGGTTGTGACATTTATCTTTGTGCCGTTTGGTGCTAAGTTCTCAAGTAAGCAATTATTGATGAGCACTCTGCTTCTCGTAAAATGAGAGTGTCAACTACTTCTCAACTGGGTTTCCTTGGCTCTGATGTCGCATGGCTCTAACTGCTGGATTTCGCTTTCTGTGTGCCATTTTAATGTAAGATTTCATTGTCCATCAGGGGAAAGACAGAAGGAATCAATGTTCGTTCAGTGTCTAATTTGGGGGGGCTCTTTATATTGTAAACTCCTTTCATCCTTGTAAGAAATGAGAAATTAAGGCTGAGGAAGCTTGAGTAAATCACTTAGAATCACACGCAGCTATGGAAAGAGCCGGGATCGGTTTCCTGTCCCCTCTCCCTCCCTACTCTGCGCCTTTCCTGGGCTTTCTATGCAGGTCCCTGGGAATCTGTGTAATAACTATTAAATTTATGTAATTTTCCTCTAGAGTAGAAAGCTTGCTTTGATCTGTGGCACTGATTAGAGGAATTTTAAAGTGAGCTTATCTTTAAACAATTTTTTTTAAAACAAATCTTTTTTCTTACAGGTAGCAATAGCTGACGTGCAGTTTGGCCCCATGAGATTTCATCCAGATCAACTCCAGGTAGTAAGAAACCATGCTGTAATCTGCACATGTTGATTTTCTTCAAAGAGGGGGAAGGGTGAGGGCCTAACGTTGAAAATAGTTTTCTATTTCAGATAATAGTATCGGGTCAACGTTAAATTTCCTAAACCTGAAAATAGTACTCTAGTTGTAGGAGAGAATATCCTTTTCTTAGAAACACAGATGGAGCTATTTAGAGACGAAGAGATGCCTGCAACCTACTTTGAAAGGTTCAGCAGTAAAAGAGTGTTGCACAGTCGTGGTGGGAAGCAAAGGGGGCGAACAGCAGCTGATGAGCATAGGAGAGGCTCATAGGTCGTTGCATTCCCAGCTGTTCAATAGGCTTGGAATTTTCCAGTATAAAAGCAGAAGCTTGGTTGTCTCTGTGTTGCTGAATTGGCTCCATCAGAAAATATCTATAAATGATCAAATCCAGAATATTAGGCAAAATAACCAGCTGAAATTGAGCCCCAGAGTTACTTGATGCTTTTTGCACACAAACCGTGTTCGCTGTTACATTTTTTAAACCTGTGCAGAGCTACCAGCAGGAATGTGCTCTTAGCTCCTTGCATTAGTGCTATTTGTGCACTTGGGGAAACTTCAAGGGACTAAGCCTTGGGGGACTGTCAGCCTTGTAGTGTCCTTCTCCCAGGCTGCCCCACCTCTGCCTCACCACCGTCGCCCTCATGAGCCCGGGGGGCTCTGAAGGGACAGCATTGTGCTTCTGCACCAGACCTGGGGACGGGAGGGGGGGACTCGCAGGATCGGGGGAACACAGCGGGCATGGGGTCGCACCTGGTGCTGTTCCTGTGTCACTTAACTGTCAGTCTGTCCTTTGCTGTCGATCACAACTTGATTACATTTTTTTTATTGAAATGGACTTGACCTACAATGTTACACTATCTTCAGGTGCACAACAGAGTGATTGGGCGTTTGCATCCATTCGGTAGTGGTCAGCCCTGTACCTGGCTACCGTGTGTCCCCGTATAGTGTTGTTCTAGATGATTAACTGTATTCCCCGTGTGTCCTTCGCATCCCCAGGTCTTCCGTATTTTATGACTGAAGCTGTACATTTTAATTCCTTTCCCCTGAGCCAGATGTCATATGACTTCACTTATGTGTGGAGTCTGAAAAACAAAACAAACCACCACCACCAACAATGAAAAGCAGAAGCAGACTTCTAGAGAACAACCTGGTGGTTTCCAGAGGGAAGGGAGGTTGAGGGATTACCTGGCTGGTTGTGAGGTGGTATTTTGGGCTACTTGAAATCTCTTCTCTTATCGTCAAAGGAATTTTTTTTTAATTTGGAGGAACTACATAAACCCTTGAGCCAAAACATTTAAATATATTATTTAAAGTTTTAAGTATCTAAAAGTTTGACTGAAATATCAGTTTTTGTCATCTAAGGACTTGTCTAGTTAATTTACTATTAACTAAAATAAGTATTTGTGTTTTCATTGAAGTAGTTTCAAGATAAAATGCTTCATCAAGCGTTGGTTGAATTCTGCCGGTCGGGTAATTAGCAAAAGAATAAGTATAGAACCCACGTTAGACTTCCAGACAAACGCAGATCAGATAGCACTAATCTCGGGAAGCTGAGCGATAAGGTTCCCGGAGTAACCTGGAGGAAGCTTTCTATCAACAGATTATGTTCGCATCTGTGTACTTGCTGTCTAAACCCTGGGGGTTTTCTGTGGCGTGTTAAGAAATGACAGTTCTAACAACTTCTTTTCTTTTTTAAAAAGTGTTCGCGCTTTTTTGATTCAGGTACTTTTAGTGTTTACCAAAGAAGATAACCAGTGTAATGGATTCTGCAGGGCGTGTGAAAAAGCAGGGTTTAAGTGCACAGTTACCAAGGAGGCGCAGGCTGTCCTCGCATGTTTCCTGGACAAACATCACGACATCATCATCATAGACCACAGAAACCCCCGACAGCTGGATGCAGAGGCGCTGTGCAGGTGAGTCTGGGACTCGGGCCCAAGTGGCCGCCGGCACACGTGACAGCGAGTGCGGTAAGAAAGACAGCAGGTTGAATTCATGGTCTTTGGGGCTGCCTTCCATACGTGTAAAATAGGACATGAGGACATCATTGTTTCTGGGACCGATCTCCCTCTGTTTTGTTTTGTTTTGTTTTACTTTGCTTTGCTTAAAATGGTAAAAAAAAAAAAAAAGAAAACCATCAAGGGTTAAGATGAAACCCAGTCTGCCATTAACCACAACTGTCACGTGCACATTACTCCAACAGGAGCCAATAAAAATTTCCAGATGTTGGTAAAGTTGTAAAAACTGAGAAAATTGTCTCCTAATGTTAGGTGGATGCACCTTGTTCATAATATCTGCAGACTCTCAAAGCATGAGAACTGGATTGCTTAACAGGAGGCTTCAGAGAAGCCCTGACCATCACGTGTGCGGGACTCTAGACAGTGCCCCCCGCCCCCCCATCCAGCCGCTTCTGGGGGTTGGGACTTCCCGGGGGAGGGGCGGGCGCTCTAAGCTTCTGCTCTCCTTCCTGGTGAGCCCACATTAGTCCCCTTTGCCAGACTCCCAGCATTCATTCGAGGGCAGGAATTGTCTTCCCTGGGTGGAGCACTGGCCCTCGTGGTGTGGGCTCACATGTGGCCCCACCCAGGGTGCGTCCTCTGAGTGTCCTCCCCCAGGCAGTACCTCTTGGAAGCGTGGCTCCAGAACTGACCAGTCACCCCGGGTCTGGGTGGACCAGTGAAGCGTCAGTGGAATAGCCATCTTCCCCGCGCTGTCCAGAGAACAGACGCCCGTAAATGCGACCGCCGAGCACATTCCTTTCCTGGTGCTTGTGTCACAGCCCCAGCCAACAATCGAAGCCTCAGGTTTTTCTTGCTAGCTGTGTTCTGGCACATCATCTCCTCCATCTTCTTGTCTGAGAGTGTGTGGGGGTGGGAGGGTGGGGGAGGAACTTGTGTCCTATTCAGTGACTTTTCTAGAGGCACAACAGGCCCTGATTTATCTCCCTGAGTCACTTTCATCTCCATTCTGGCCCTACATGTCTTCTCTCCCTTAAGATCATCCCTTTAAGGAAACCTGCCCACTGTGGAGTGTTCCTTCAAGGAACCTCTCCAGGCTGTGCCTCATGAACCTGTTGACTCACGCTCTCGCCCTCCACTGACATGCACGGCTCACAAGACCTTAGCCCTGGCAGAGCTCCTTCCCTCCCACCTGCTTTTGGGATGCCTAATCAGTACTGCCTGTGAAGGGTTTTCATCCGTTACCAACTTGTCTAAACGACTGGCCTTCATCTGGATCTCTCTACTGGGGAAATTGGGAACTCTTTATACTCCTTATCAGATGCTTTGCTGAAGGCCAAATATTCTGTGTCTCTGATATTTCCAAATCCCCCAGTTGGGGGACCCCGCTTCGCAAGTCCTCTCAGTTCTGGGCAATGTCTTTGGTACAAGAGCCACGTAGGTAAGTGAGGAGCTAATGTTCCGGTTTGTAGGGTGAGCGAGTGATTTCAGTACAGGCTTATAAGTGCCCGAGAGGAGGTGTGTACAAAGTGCCACAAAGGCCTGTGTCCGAGAGCTTCACAGAGGATATTTGGGTCAGTTCCTGAAAGATGAGCAGGAGTTTTCAAAGGAAGAAAGGCGGAAAGTAGAACTACCGTACGACCCAGCAGTTGTGCTACGAGGTATTTATCCAACGGCTACAAAAATGCCGATTCAAAGGGGCACAAGCACCCCAGTGTTCACAGCAGCGCTGTCAACAACAGCTGAAGTATGGAAAGAGCCCAAATGTCCATCACCTGACACATAGGTAAAGAAGATGTGGTATACATAATGGAACACTTACTTGGTGATCAAAAAGAATGAACTCTTGCCATCTGCAACAACGTGGATGCAACTAGAATGTATTATGCTAAGTGAAATCAGTCAGAGAAAGACAAGTATCAGATTTCACTCATGTGGAATTTAAGAAACACAATAGATGAACACAGGGAAAGGGAAAAAAAGAACAAAGATAAAAACAGAGAGGGAAGCAAACCATGAGAGACTCTTAAGTACAGGTGACAAACGGGGTTAATGTTAGAGGGGAGGTGGGTGGGGATGGGCCCTGAGGAGGGCGCTTGTTGGCAGAAGCACAGGGTGTTGTACGGAAGGGATGAATCACTGGGTTCTACCCCTGAAACCAATACTACACAGTATGTTAACTAACCTGAATTTAAATTAAAAAAAAAAAAATTAAAAAACTCAGACGTGCCAGGTGGAGGGAGCAGCACGTGTAGGAAGAGGCGGGTGTACGGGGCTCGGCTGCTCGGTGTGGGATGACTGCTGGGTTGGGCGGGTGTGGGACGTGGCTGTGGCTGAGGCCAGAGCAGCAGACAGGAGCCCCATCATGAGGGCCTTGGGTGCTGAGCCAGAGGCGTGGACTTCACCCCGTAGGCAGTGGAGACACTGCCGTGGTCGGTGCAGGGGAGCACCGAGCGCGGTGGGAGATGGCGGGCTGCGGGCTGGAGAACCGTGTAGAAGGGCAGAAGGCGCTGAGGCACGTTGACCAGCTGTGAGGCTGTTGGAGGCGTCGTGTACGCGCCTGATTTCCTCCTCCCAGTGTCCTGTCCAGAAGCGCAGGAAGGTAACAGCTGAAAGCCGACCGCAGCTGCTAAGAAGCCAGAGATGGGCCGATCGGTGTGTCAGAGCTGGGACAGCAGAGGACCTGGATTGCCCGGTTGCCTTGTACCATGGGCCCCAATGAAGAAGCCTGTCCCGGAGGCCTGCCCCAGGGACAGCTTGTATACACTCCAGCCTCTGAAGGCCAAGTGCCCCACAGCCCTAAAGGAACGAGGTGGGAGGAGGCTCTACTGAGCCGGGGCTGCTGGCGCTGTGTTCACAGACCCACGGCTCTGCTCGAGGGGGACACCGCTGTCTCCGGGAGCGGCTGGCGCCCTGCCTCCGGCCCCCCAGTCCCTACTGCCCCATCCTTCTTTCCTTTCTGCCTCCACCAGGAAACCCGAGACCACGAGCCAAGGGGGTGGACAGAGACGTGGGATTTTCTACCACGTCGTGAGGAGGGGCAGTGGCCTAAGGAGCGTGGACCGGCCCTTCACATATTGCAGCTTCACAACCGCAAAGTGTATCAGTTCTCGCGTTTGGTTTGAGGATGGGCCAGAGCCAGCCAGGCATCCGGCCCGGGCCGCCAACCCAGGCCTGCCTGCTGGCAGCGCCCTCGGAGCACCGCGTCTGCTCCCCAGATCCCAGGAGGGCCGCTTGTGCCAAGGGCCTGGCCAAGGGGTACAAGGGACATTCCTGTGGCGCTCTCCGCTGCAGGCTCTCGGCCTGGGCTCGCATCACTTCTGTTCAGAGAACAGGGTAAAGAAGGGGGGGGGGGGGGCTGTAAAAAGGTGCCAAATAATGGATGAGGAAAGAATAGCTTTAGAGACCAAGAAAATTACTCGCCACAAGAAATTTGCAGAACCTATCAGGAGACACATGCCTGGTACACTCAGAAGAAATGAAGAACTATACTTTCATGCACCGGGAGCAGGGCTCTGTAATGGAAGGGAAGATTTTATGAAGGGAGGTGAAGGAGCTAAAGCAGTGCACAGAAACCCAGAGCGCATTAGCAGAATTAAATCCATGCTGAGTGCAGGAGCGAGACCGGACTCAGAGGGCCCGACGCCTTCGGCGATCTCCCGAATCACCCTGGTCTGCGGTTCAGTGTCAGTGTCGTAAATGCCATTTTCAATCTGAAAGTCATTCCACGTGGCAGAGGGAACAGTGGTGAAGCACAGGTAATGGAGTTGTACTTTGTAAAATTTAACTCCTTGAAGGACTTAGCTATATTCTGACCCTAAGCCTCCGTCACATGCCTTTTCCCCAGAGTTGGGTAGAGACCACCGTCAGATTTATCTGTCGTTGCCGGTGTGTCTGGAGAGTGGTCCTTGCCCCCCATACCCATTTCTACTCTCTCCTGATAACAGAATTCCTAGTGTTGAGCTGGGCGTATGGCTACCTGGAAAATACGTGCATTCACAAGCTTTTCCTGTAGCTGGCCAGTGGGAATGTCACGTGCATCTTCTGGAAAGTATCCTTCAAGGGAGAGCGCTTACCCTCCTTCCTGTTGTTGGGAATGTGGAGGTTGTGGCTCGAGCGCAGCATCCGTCTTGGATCATGGGGAAGAAACCACGTATGGGCAATAGTAGGGAGACCTCGACAGAAGGAGCCAGGGGTCCGATGCCGCAGCGTGCCCCCACAGCCTTGGGCTGCCTACCTCTGCACGCCTTTTATGCGGGAGAAAACTCGTGTTTAAGCCACCGATCTTGGGAGTTTTCTCTTACCCATAAAAACCTGGTAAAATCCTCGCGATGCACCAGCTAGCATGGCTTTGCGAGCCTTCCGGCGTGCTTACCCGGTCTTTCGGGAGCTCGTGCTGTAGACTCATGCCCTCTCTTTTTCCTGAGTTCTTGAGACCTGCCTTACTAACGTCTGGGTGTACGCAATGATGTCAAGTCATTTCTTTCTTCACGTTCCTGGATTCTAGAATGAAGGGTGTTATTTTTCAACCCAGGTTCCTGACATTCTATTTTCTGATCAGTTCTTCCTCCTTATGGACCAGAAAAAATCAAGAGTGCACGTCTGCCTTTTTATACAGTGTTAGATCTCCTCGGCAGGTATCAGCTTGCTTCCAGGTAAACACTGTCTTCCCTTCTGCTTTTTGTCCTGAGCCCAGTGCCTACCGGCATTCCTGTGTCCTCAGTAGGTTATCCAGAACTACTTCCTGCGTTTATCTGTACCGTTACCTACGTGCTGTTTCTACCACTCAGATCTCTGTTTTCCTAAAGATGAGAGCCAGTTTGAGATGGCCAGCTGCGTACTTAAATTTGCCTTTCCTTCTTGAAGAATCCATGTGACAAGACAAAAATGGGAACACGAGTACAGTGTCCTGAGAAGTCACAGAAACACCACTCATGAGTGCCTGTCTCCCCTGTAAGATGAGTGACAGGTCTGTAGCAGCCCAGTTTTGAGAGGTCGCCGGCCTTGTCTGTGCCAGTGTCTGCTGTGTGAGCCGCTCCAGGGCGCCCCCTTCAGGATAGTGAGCGCGGCTTTTCTCTCGGCAAGGGGACCGCGGTGGGGCCGGGGATTGGCAGCCGGGTGGCCGTCCCCGTGGGGACCTGCTGAGGGGCCCTTCCGATACAGCAGCCCTGCAGTGCTGCTCCGGAGCAGACGGGAGGATGGAAGCCAGCGGGACCGGGTGGACGCCGCCAACAGCAGGCGCGTGGGGAGAGATGTGTGAGCCACACGGCGCACGAGAGAGACCGGCTCGTCCCTGGAGCTGCGTGTCCATCCCTGAGCCACTTCCGTTCCCACACGCAGTCCGTGCCTGTCGTCGGGCTCAGCCTTCCTGACCTGAGTTCCTTGAGAAAATGAAGCCCCGGGGCCCTGGGGCAGGGCTGCGCAAGGGGGACTCGGTCACACAGTTCATTTGTGGGTCGTCTCTGGCTGCTTCCGTGCCACAGGAGCGGCACTGGGTGGTTGTGACAGAGTCTGCCTGGCTCACAAAGCCTGGAATACTTGTCATCTGGCCCTTTGCGGAAAAAGTGTGCCAAACCGAGGTGTGCACTGTGTATGCCCAATTAACGTCTCTCTAATGCTTCTGGAATGGCTAGTTACGGGCCATCCATGGGAGAACTGAGAAAGAGTCACTCTGGTGGTTTTCTGTGTTCTGTGACTCGGGAGTGATTCTGTTTCTCAAACCAGCGGAACAAAGTCCCGCAGTAAGTCGTGGCCATTCTCTGTCGCATCCTGCCCACTTCCTACGGGAAGCCAGCTAGCTTGTCACGGGGCCGGAGCCGTGTGTCTTCCTCCCAGCGCAGGGCCACGTCCCCTCTGCCTGGGGCATCACCGCTCCTCTGCAGGGTCCTGCCTACCCCAGGGTACAGGGAGCTCAGGGCTGGGCCACCTCCCCACGCCCTCTCCCCTAGGCACGTTCATTCTGCCCTGTCTGTCTCATCTCCTGGCTGAGCGTGCTTCCTGGGGAGGCTGCTTCTCCAGGAGGGGTGAATGCACCCTGCTGGGAGCCTTCTCCTCTGGGGGGAGTTTCAGCGGAGCAGCGTCCCCCACTTCTCCTGACCAGTCCCCATTCTTCCCTGTCTCTCATTTCTGACGGACTCGGAGATCCTGCATTTTGTACTTCTGAGTTTCTGTGGCTGCCGCTCTTGCCCACACTCTGCCGAGGAGCTCCCTGGGGCATGTAGGGAGCAGGCCTTTGGGCTTCGTCCTCACCCTAACTGCGGTTGTCAGCATGTGGTAATAACACACTTACTTGGGTGTCCCTTTGACGGTGAGAGACCGATGACCTCCGTCACATAAGCCCAAGGTCGGGAATGTCCTCCAGCTGAGGTACTCGGATTGACAGAGGCCAGAGCAAGTAGCACGTACACCATCTCCAGCCCCTGTTATGTTTAACCCTGTGAGTGTTAGGGTTACTCGTCCATGGAGTGGGGGCCTGTCCCCTCAAGGAAGATCGAGTAGCCCAGAACGTAAACCCAGAGAGTGACCTGTGCCCTCTTCTGCCTCTCCCCAGCTTTAATTGTTCTACCAAAATCAAGTGTTTTTTTTTTTTTTTAAGAGTTGCTTTATGTTTATTTTAAAGTTTGTTGTTGTTTTTTTTAAAGGTCTATTAGGTCATCAAAACTCTCTGAAAACACAATTATCATTGGTGTAGTACGCAGGTAAGCCCTCATTGTTTTTAATGTTGAAGTTCAGGTGTCCGTGTCATACTTTTTCTTAGCAGAGGCTTAGCTGCTTGTAGGCTGTGACGGGTGTCACCTTTTTCATTTGGCCTTTTCTTCTTTATTCTTTCTAACTTTCTTAGCCAGTTAACTCTATGGAGGGAGTTTCTGCTCTCGTGTGAGGTTTTGTGATTTTGGACTGCTGTTCACTTTAGAAGTAGGCAAACCGCGTGAGAGTTCCATTCCTAAGAGTATGAATGTTATCAGGGACACCTCCTGAGGGCTTTCTAACTCCCAAGTACGTATGAAGATTTGATTCATACATAGATGGGAGAAATCTTATATTTCATCCCAAAAGTGAAGGTAAGGAAAGAATAGAAATATGTTGGGAGAGGGCAGTATTTAAGTTAAAATTTTTACATAACAGATAGCTGTGTGGTTCCTCCTGTATTCTGGCTGTGAGCTCCGTATTTCAAGCTTTACCGTATGTTGCCTGAAAGCTACATAGGAAACTAAAACAGAAAATTACTTTCAATTTTATACTACTTCTGATTGGCATATTAATCTCATTCATCTAAAAGTATCTGACATTATATGATAGTCATAGTATTCTGTAAATTAGTGAATAAAGAGGTGGGCTATAATTGATAAAAACTGTCTCTAACCCTTGACTGTGTTCTTTTGAAGGACGGATAGAGAAGAGTCCTCTGTGATGCCCCTCATTGCTGCTGGCTTTACGAGGGTATGTACCCACTTCTTTGTTATGCGGGTTATCATTCAGCCTGAGAAATTATTTAATCTCCATTCAGAGCCAGTGAAAGTTTGAAATTCATTCGAAGAAAGAAATTTATTGTCCTTGTGCTGTTACATTGTGGGTTAGCGTTAGAGCTTGGCCATCTAATAACCTACAGTGCTTTACGTTTTTCACTCAAAATTACGTCTGCTAAAGTCATCTAAACATCACACAGTCTCCTTTAATGACATGAATGTTCTGCCACAGGATGTGTTGTGGCGACGCTGACAGGTGCGCATGCAGCTTTAAAGGCAGTTCAGGAACTCTGGAAGTGAGGCAGCCCGGACACGACCCCTCCTCCCCAGCCCTGACCCGTTGGTCTCTCCTAAGCCAGAAGGCTTCTAAAGGTTGGTCAGCTGGTTGCCAATGAGCCCTGGCAGTCGTGATGGAGAGAACGTACGTACGTACGTAAGGCTGATCCTGTGGCAGATTTGTGGCCCCGTTTTATGTCCATGAGATAGTCAAGACCCGACCCCAAGCCATGAATTTATAGGTAAAGTGGTTCTAGGTGGTTCCTGGTACTCCTAGGTACTTGGCAGGAGCAATTACAGATCCGCCCCCGAGGAAGACGCCTTCACCTCCAGCCTCAGGGAATCTCCACAAGTAACCGCCCCCGGCGGCAGGCAGGCTCTGCACACACAGGAGTGAGGCATTGCAGGCGGGCTCGTAGGAGAAAGGCCGCAGAAACGGGCCTCCACAGCCCAGATACCAGAATTCTCAGACACGAATTATTAACCAGTTATGCTCCTATGTAAAGAATAAAAGACAAAACAAGCTTGGAAATGTTTGCAAGGAATAGTAAACTATAAAAAGTGACACAGCAAATTCTAAGCAGAACATAAGTGAATTTTGAGAAAGGAACACATTATAACCACAATATTTTAAAACTTAGTAGGTCAGAGGAAATCTTAGAGCATGTAGCACAGAGATTCAGTAATAGAAAAGAAGTTAGGGGAGTCAGGAGGATAGACTTTATAGTTTAGCATATATGCAACTGGAGTTCAGAAGGACGGAAGAGGGTGTGAGGCAGAGGCAGTATTTGAAGAGAACTTTCTAGAACTGATTTAAGATTTAAAAATTCCAACAAATCTACAGTAGAGTAAATAAAAAGAAGACACATCATAGTGAAAAAAACAAAACAGGGATTTTGCTTTTTAGAGAGAGACTATGAACAGAGGAGTAGGCAAGGGGGAGAGAGAATCTTAAGCAGGGTCCACATGCAGCACGAAGCCCAACACGGGGCTGGAGCCCATGACCCTGGGATCATGGCTTGAGCCAAAATCAAGAGTTGGACACTCAACCGACTGAGCCACCCAGGTGTCCCTGGAAAGAGACCTTAAAATCAGCGAGAGGAGAAAGATTTCCTTCAGAAGAATGATGACTATCAGCTAGCTTCTCTGCAGTGGTAAATGGAAAATGGAACATACAGGAAGAATCCTTTCAATGTGATAAAGGAAAGTAACTGCTCACCTAGAGAGTTAACCATAGCATAAATAGCTTTCAAAAATGTGTTTGAAATAAAGACTTTGAGCAATATGAAGACAGAGTTTGCAACCAGCACACCCTTAAAGAAAATTCTAAAGGGGGTGCTTCAAGCAGAGGGAAGGCGAATCCCAAGTGGAAGTCTTGCAACGCAAGAAGGAGTGAGCAGCAAGACAGTGGTGAATATGGGGGTAAATCTAAGCACACACTGACTGTATAAAACAGTAATAGTAACGCCCTGTCTGATGAGAGATTACCGCAGGAGGATCGCAGTCCAAAAGTCCCGCCCAGACGACTCCTTGGTCGCCTTGCAGGGCAAAAGGGGATGGACATAAAATTCAGAGTCCTGTCTCCCCAGGAGCCCTATCTGAGGCAAAAAACTGAGAAAGGACTCCACTCCTACAACAGACGAACTTGTACAAGACACTTGAAGAGGAGGGAAGCGGTGAGTGGTGGACCTGCTGAGCGCAGGGACCCGCCTGCTGCCGCCCTCCCTCTGCACATGTGTGTGCATGAGCGCTGTCTAGTATGGCTTCGCCTGCAGTTATGTAACGTGAGAAATGTGAGATCTAGATCTATGTAGGTCTGATGGTAGTCCCAAAGGGGAAAACACACACTGGAATATATAATACTCTTCTAACAAAAGGGACGTGCCAAAAGAAAAATTTGAATCACTCAGTTAAGTATTTAAATTCTAGACTATCCTAGTAAACCTAGGCATCTTCAAGGTTTGTGGGGAGGAGGTAGAGGTACAAGCGTTCTCAGGGCCTTATCTGGCAGACATGTGAGCGAGTCGGGGTGAAAGTGTTCTGAAGCAGCCCTCGGTGGGAAATGTGCAGACTAGAACATGCGCCCTCTGGGAGATCGTTTGTTCTGGGGGCAGTCGGGATCTTGTTTTCAAATAGTAGCAAAGAAATCAATGTTGGCTTTTGAGGTCAGTGAAAAGGAAAGGAAGGCAGCGATTAATAGAACGGAAAGATTTAACAAACCTTCCAAAATCACAAGAAGAAATATGAGATTTACAGCACCCTGGTCAGACTGGCTGACAGGAGGAGGGGGAAGCGGCCGTGTGAAAAGAGTCGTAACGTGAAGTAAGATAGAAGGGCTGGAAGCAGATGCGTGTGAACCGACTGTTCTTCCCAGTGAGAGGCCCTCTGGACTGGGTTACAGAAGTGCCACCATATGATGTTGATAAGACAAAGTGATAAAAGCTTAATAATAAATGAACAACGGTAGCAAGTAAATGCAGACCAACCAAAACCCCACAGGTATTCCAGTATTAACATCGGATAAGACGGATCTTAACATTTTACTTTATACACACAGTTTTCTATAAAAAGCGCACATTGGATTATTGTTGTTATTACACAGTTTTGTGGTTCCCAGAACCCCCACAACATACACCCGTATCAGCACCTGCCTCCACCCCTTCACCTCCAGTCACTCCATATTAAATTGTAGAACAACCAAGTCAGCCAGTGTGAAGGGGAGTGTTCCTTTAAGTCCAGAATCCCAAGTTGGAAGTTGTGGATCACCTCTTGCTCGTGGATCCTAGATCATGTCCCCTGAAGCTACTTGGAAAGCATTCACACAAGGGGGAAAAAACTTTCCCAGCTAATTTTGAAGATGTTTATATGATAACTCTCAGGCTTCAAGACTGGCTACCCATTTTAGCAAGGCGCTCGGAAGCTTCCAGTTTCTAGAGAAACTTGGGGGTAGATGGGGTGCCCTGCCTTGTATTCTTTTCTTCCAGCCACCAGGAGTCATTAAGCTTTATGTTTGTTGAGGTCTCTTTGAAGGGGCAGAGATGCATGTTGGGAATGGGTGTTTGGTAAGTGGTGTATTTGGAATTCTCCACGAGGAAGTGCATTGGCACAGCTGTGTGGACTGGAAAGAGCATCCTGGTAGAAGGTATAGGAAACCTCAGTCCTTACATTTGCTTCATGTAATCGAGTTATCATGAGGTTTGAAAATGCAAGAGTAACTGATGCTACAGTCCCCGCCCTCTCACCCACATACTGGGTCACAGTGTCCTCTGAAGCCTTGGCTGGGACCAGTCTTAGGTGCACGTCCCTAAGCACAAAAGCTTTGAGGTAGTCCTTGTACATGACCTAGGAGATTAGGAGGTAGCAGCAGGGTCACCATTTTGTAGACGATGAATTCAGGTGGACGGCCGGTCCTCAGCAACCACAGGTGAAAGCTAATCTTCCTTCAAGGACAGCCCCGTACCTTCACGTAACAACAGGATGCCGCGGTGGCTGAGTGCATGGTGACAGAGCAGAGCCTCTAGACCTAGAGGGAAGGTGACTGTCCCGAGTCCCACGGCTGGTAGGAGGTGGTGCCAAGGCTTGACCCAGACCTAAACCCAAAGGCCGACCCCATAGCGGGATCTCTTGTATTCAGGCGGCACTCAGCTGTTTTGTGGGTGAGCCCAGAGTGAGTGGACAGCCGCTTGCATCCTCGGCGGCCGAGCATGTGCCGACTAACACTGGAGAGGTCTGGGTGTGGTGTATCTCAGCGCTGGTTAGAATCCCTTGGAAAGCTTCCCAGAGTGTCTTTCAGGTGGAGGTGGGAGAGGCCCGCACGTCGCTGTTACTTGGCACGATTGCAAGTGATTCTGATCCGCAGCCAGGCCCTGCGAACCCCAGGGTGGGGCCTGGCAGCTCGGGAGGGACAGGCTCGGGAAAAGTGAGGTGGGGTCAGCTCAGAGTGTGCAGGAATTGCGGCCCAGGCCCCGTGGTGGGAGGCCCTGGGAGGAGGCCAGCTGCCACAGGAGCAGTGCGGAGAGCGGCCTGTCCCCAAGCGTCCCTGGACCCGGTGCCCTTCCCCACCCTCCATGCCCTGTGCACTCCTTGGGACACGCGTGGAAGTTGGAAGAGGGCAGGAAAGACTGGACGCTTAGATGCAGAGCAGCGGTTGGCGAGGGGGCGGTGCGCCGACAGGGGCAGGCTGCTGTACGTTTGGTCACGTGTGCCTGTTTTGTAACTGGCAGGCCTGCCTTGGAAGCTTGGATATATTCGTTCATACCCAGAGAAAAGTCTCATTGCATCCCTAGGAGGCCATTTACAAATACACGGGTCCCCACGTCCCAGGATCTCCCCTGCAGAGCAGGTGACGCAGCCAGGGTCCTGGACAGCTCAGGTCCCCACTCCGGGGCTGCTGGCAGTGGCGCAAACCCTGTACCCGGGAGTCTCCTCCCTGTTCCTGCCCAGTCAGCACCAGGCGCCTGTGCAGATGGACGGCATTCTCGGGCGTTCTGTGGAGTCAGGGCTGACAGAGGAATGGACAGCAGGGCCAGCGCTCTCTTCTCTGACCTGTGTTTTGGCCTGTGGGACAGGGACCATTGTGCCCATGGCCTGAAGGGCCTGCTCCTCCCCTCCCCGCCCCTCCACTTTCCACCCCTCCTGGGGCTGGTGATCACCGCACTCTGTGGATGTGGGTTGTGCAGTTACCGTGCTCTCTCCCTCCGCCTCACCTTCAGCGAGTAGGAGCAGAAAGCCTTGTTGTGCGAGAGCAGAGCAGGCCCGGAGGGTTGGTGCCTCGTTCAGGGTCATAGAGCTTACAAGGCACGAGCCTGGGGCTGGATTAATCAGGTTGCTTGATGCTCAGACAAGAACCCGATCACTGTTTAAACGGGGGGCCCTTCGTCTTCACTGTGGCAAGGGCTCCGTGAGGGGCCCATGTCCCGGGCGGGTGTGGCTCCGGCTCCAGCTAGAGGTAGTGGCCTTCACAGCCCCGGCCCTGCCTCTCAGTCGTCAGCCAGTAGACTGTTATCCATGCATTGAGCAGGTGAAAGCAAGAGCTGGCCACAGAAACAGGGGTGAGTGATGTTCCCCAATGTTCCTTCTGCCTGAATGGAACTATGTGACAGGACACAGTGACCTCTAAGATGCCTTTGTGGAATACAGAACTTGGTGGGGGGATGGGTCCATGCTCCTCACAACCGTGTTGCTTGCTTTGTGGTGAGATACTTCTGTCATGTAAAGGCTGTTTAGGAGGTAGCGACTGTCCACAGCAGTCAGGGCTTCCGGGCGAAGCGGCCGCTGAGCTGTGGAGGGCCATCCTTCAGTGGCTCGATTGATCCGTGGTCAGAGGTGAGTGTAGGAGCATGTTGCCCGGGTGCAGGTTACCTTTGTGCAGTGCAGGTGCACGGAGAAGTGCAAGCATATTTTTGCTTACTGTGGTCTTGAACAACTTTAAAGAGGACAGCGTAGTGTGCCTGACTAAGAGGGTGTACTCTGGAAGTTAATGTAAACTAGGAGTTCAGTTAAATAAATTTCTTCTTTCTGCACATTCTAGCCTCTAGTAGTGCCATGCAGATAACCAAAATCCTCTTCGCTCAAACAAAGCATTCTTAAGTTCTGTCTGTTTTTTTTTTTAAGGGTATTTATTTATTTTGAGAGAGAGCGAGAACGAGCATGTGAGCAAGGGAGGGGCAGAGAGAGAGGGAGAGAGAATCCCAAGCAGAGTCCATGCTGTCAGCACAGAGCCTGATGCAGGGCTCTGTCTCATAAACCGCTAGATCACGACCTGAGCCAAAATCAAGACCCAGAGGCTCAAGTGACAGCTATTCAGGTGCCCAAGCCCTGTCTTCTTAAAAGCTAATTTGGTACCTGGGGCACCTGGGTAGCTCACCCCTAACTCTTAATTTTGGCTCAGGTCACAGGCTCACATGGGAACCTGTTTGGATACTCTCTCTCTCTCTCTCTTCTCTTTATCCCTCCCCTAAAAAATAAATAAACTTACTTTTTTAAAAAAATAGTTTATTGTCAAGTTGGTTTCCATGTAACACCCAGTGCTCATCCCCACAAGTGCCCTCCTCCATGCCCATCACCCCCCTCCACCCCCACCCATCAGCCCTCAGTTTGTTCTCAGCATTCAAGAGTCTCTCATGTTTTGCCTCCCTCCCTCTCCCCCACCATTTCCCCCCTTCTTCTTCCCCACGGTCCTCTGTTAAGTTCCTCCTAATCCTCCTATACGTGCAAACATATGGTATCTGTCCTCCTCTGCCTGACTTATTTCGCTCAGCATAACACCCTCAAGGTCCATCCAAGTTGCTCCACATGGCCAGATTTCCTTCTTTCTCCTTGCCGCTAAACTGCTTTTTTAAAAAAAGCTAATTTGGTACCATAGATTTTAATCTCTTCATTTCCTGTTCATCATGGAATATATTTCTTTTTAGGCTTCAGTTACCCAGTTGAGACATCTGTTAAAAGAGTGTTTCCTGATAGTCATAATAATTGAAAGATGCACCTTTGTTTATCCGCACAACCCCCTTCTCTTTGTAGAGGTATGTGGAAAACCCCAGCCTCATGGCCTGTTACAACGAACTGCTCCAGCTGGAGTTCGGAGAGGTGCGCTCCCAGCTGAAACTCAGGTAACTCCGCCCCTCTGCACGGTGCCTCGCTGCGCTGCGGGCGGCCTCCCCTGGTGGCTCCACCTGACCTGCTGACACAGGTGGCGCTGTGGCCTCGCGCCTCTCTTTATACAGACTCTTGGGGTGGCCTGGATGTCTACCATGCAGTCACATTAGCCGTGGGAGACACATTTAAAGATGGGGCTCCAAGCCAGTAGTAAGTGAAAATGCAGTCTACAGAGGCGTATTGTCAGTTATCTGTCTACCCTTTTAAGAAACAAAAATACTTCTAATAGACACCCACACCCAGCCTACTAATACTGCTCATCTCTGACAGGGGATGTGTTTTTTTCTCCACAAATAAGCATTTATAATTTGCTCTTGATAAACCTTTTTTTATTAAGGGAAAAGAGTAGAAACCTACTTCTTTGTACAATAGGAAAAGCAAATAAATAAAATTATCCAAGGCTGACAGAAGAAAAGAAAAGTTGGCAGGTCTTTGTCAAACTAGGTTTCTTCCTTGGGTGGTCTCCTGTTCTTTAAGATCCCGGGGATCAGAGAGAGAGCATGAAATCACTGTTTGGATATGCCTGCGGCAGAGGTGCCGGGGTCAGGGCTTGGCAAAGGTCAGAGGGGCCAGCACGGGGCTCCACACTCAGGGAAGGAAAGTGCGTCCCAGGTGAAATGAAGCATGAGCTGGCGGAGAAGTTCTGATGAGCGCACACGTGTGAGGCTAGTAAAGTGTGCAAAAGAGGGTTTGATTGCCAGGTTTTGCTGGGAACCTTGAGGTGGATGGCCATGTTTAGGCCTGGTCATCCTCACTCGTGGACAGAGGCCGGCCGCAGCCTTCCTACGGTGAACTCTAGGCTACTGGCCTCTTTGAAAGCAAAGCGGAAGTTTGGAGCAGTAGCTGGTGATGGGGTTTATTTTGTCCGATCAGGGTGCAGAAACTGACGCCCAGGGAGATGGACTGACTTAGATCTGACATCTCACAAGTGCCAACAGCACAGATAATCCTTGAGGTTGTGATCAGTGTTTTCAAAGCTGTGGCCATTGTCTCTCCTCCATCCTCTCCTCCATTCCTAACTCTAACTGTAACCTCTGACCTTTCCTTCCTGAATACCTTAGCTTAGTGAGCCCAGCGGCATGTCCCCTGTGGTCCTGGACGGAAACCAGCATGTCAGTTTCACAAGTCCCCAACTCCAGTCGCTCACCAAGTCCTGTTGGCTTTGCATCCTGAGACTCTGTGGAATAAGCCTACACCTCTTCCTCTTTAGGCCACTCTCTTTTCTTACCTGGATCATTGAACTGTCAGTTAGTCTCCCTACATCTTTCTTGGCTCCTCCTTGCCCGTTCTCCGCACCCCAGCAACGCGTAACTGTGCTTGTGCTTTGGCTCTGCGCCTCCCCACTGCCTTCCAGACAAGGTCCAAACTTTAAGATGTGGCCTGTACAGCTCTCTGTGGTACATCAACTGCTTACCTCTCTGTCACCATCTGTCTTCATGCCCTGCTTTCTTCTCTGCACCAACTGACAGCCAAAGGGAGAAGTCCATTATCAAGGGCAGTAAGAAAATACAAAGGGAGCATGGTGATGTGGGGCTAGAGAGCTAGGGGAAACAGAGACTTGTGCTGCCGGGTGGTAAAATGCACTAACAAGCTTTAACAAGCACCTTAGTGTTACTGCTAGGTCAGCAAACTAGAATGTAAAGTGTAGAAATAGACTTGAGTATATTTAAGAATTTAGCATATGATCAGCATGGCAATTTAAGTCAACTTGGAAAAGGGCAGACTTCTTAGTGTACAGAATTGTGACAACTTGTTAACTGTCTGGAAAGGAAATTAAGTTATCTTGATCTCACACCCAACCGCAAAATAAATTCCAGTGACTTAACGACTTAATGTTAAAATAGGGCCATATAAGTACTAAAATTATAACTGAACATATGTAATTAGATGGTGAAATTTTTTTAAATTCAGCATGGCATAAAGGCCAGATTGGGTAAAGGAGGAGAGTCAGATTAAACAACATAAAAATGTTAAGCTTGTCTACAATTACAAAAAAAATTTTTTTTTAATGTTTCATTTATTTTTGAGAGAGAGAGAGACAGAGTACAAGCTGTGGAGGTTCAGAGAGAGAGACGGAGACAAAGAATCGAAAGCAGGCTCCAGCCTCTGAGCTGTCAGCACAAGAGCCCAACACAGGGCTCGAACCCACAAACTGTGAGATCATGACCTAGCTAAAGTCAGATGCTTAACCGACTGAGCCACCCAAACACCATAGCTTGTCTACAATTTTTTAAAAACCTCACATAATGTTACATTTTTAGATAAGTGACATCCTGGGGAGACTGTAGGACAGATATAGGTTCAGCTTTACTAGTAACCCCATCAGTGAAAACAAGAATGATCTCTTACATTTTATTTACCAAGTCTGCAAAAATTGTAAAAAGAATGCTAAAACCAAGTAGGGCTTCTCACAGATCCATCTCCTCCAAACTTGTTATATCAGAGGTGAGAACTTATTTCTCATTAAAAAAATTTTTATAACAACTTTATTGATGTAGAATTCACAGTATCACTTGATTTTTATATACCAAAAAATAAAAACTAATTTTTATTGGCTAAGCTGCTTCGTCTTGTTTAGTGATCTGTTTTATTAATACCAGGATTAATGTCAACACGTTGCTATTGTTTCCTTTGTTATCTTTGCTTTTTATGAACAACGAGGCAGTTGGTTTCAGTTTTTCATCTTCTGAGGCATATAAGAGAACTAAAGTGGAAGCAACCTCAATGTCCAATCATGGCGGGATTTGTTGAATAAATTATGGTGTAACTTTCAACAGAATAGTGCGGTTTGTTTTCAACTTAAAGAAGTCCCTTTAACATTTCCTGTAAGGCTGATTTAGTGGTAGTGAACTCCTTTAGCTTTTTGTTTATCTGGAAAACTCGTTGTCTCTCTGACTATTGTGAGCGGATAACCTTGCCAGGTAGAGTATTTTCCGGTTGCAAGGCTTTTCCTTTCGCACTTTGAATAGGTCGTGCCGCTCCCTTCTGGCCTGCAGAGTTTCTGCAAAATATCTGCTGAGCTTTATGCTGAAAAGAAATGGCACTAATTAATAACAAGAACACACATGAAAGTAAAAATGTTACTGAAAAGGTAAATATATAGTAAAAATAGCAGATTAATCACTTCTAAAGCTAGTATGAAGGTGAGAAGACAAAAGTAGTAAAGTTAGGTAAAGCTACAATAATTAAGGGATATATCAAATAGCATAAAATGTGACATCAAAAACAAAATAGAGATGTTAGTAAAAATGTATTTTTGGAATATGTTCAAATTTAAGTTGCTATCAACTTAATGATAGCAAAGAAAGAAAAAAAATAAGAAAGAAGTCGAAGCCTAACAGTAAAGAAAGTTATAAAACAAAAGAGAGAGAGAGAGAGAGAGAGAGAGTAACTACAAAAACATCCAGAAAACAATTAACAAAATGGCAATAAGTACAGACCTATCAATAATTACCTTAAATGTATATAGACTAAATTCTCCTATCAAGACCTTATACTTGAATTAAAAATTAATTAAAGGGTGCCTGGGTGGCTGAGTTGGTTAAGCATCGGACTCTTAGTTTCAGCTTGGATCATGATCTATGGTTTGTGAGCTTGAGCCCTACATCAGGCTCGGTGCTGACAGTGTAGAGGTACAGAGTCGGCTTAGGATTCTCTCTCCCTCTCTGCCCCCCCCCCCACGTGTTCTTGTTCTCTTTCTCTCTCTCTCTCAAAATAAAAAAAATAAAAATCAGTTTTTAAAAAGACTCCTCTGTGTGCCTGCCTACAAGGGACTTCACTTCAGAAGTAAGGACATACACAGAAAGAAAGGGGAGAAATGGAAAAAGATACTCCACGCTGGAAACAAAAAGAAAGCTGGTGTAACTGTATTCATATGAGACAAAATAGACTTTAAAATAAAGGCTGTAGTGAAAGAAAAGGGCATTACTTAATGATAAAGAGGTCAACTGAGCAAGAAGATAAAACATTTATAAATATATATGCATCCAAGGAAGTGCACTAAAATATACAAAGCAAATATTAACAGACATAAAGGGAGAAGTTGATAATATAATTATAGTAGGGGGCTTAACACCACTTAAATCAGTGGATAGATCATCTAGACAGAAAATCAATAAGGAAACTTTGGCTTTAAACACTACATGAAACCAGATGAACTTAATAGAAACACACAGAACATTTGATCCAAAAACAGCAAAATACCCATTCTTCTCAAGTGTACATGCAACATTTTCCAGGATAGATCATGTTAGGCCACAAAAGAAGTCTCAGTATTTGCAAGAGAATTGAAATCAGAGCACGCATCTTTTCCAACTACAATGGTATGAAACCAGAAATCAATTACAAGAGGAAAACTAGAAAAAACACAGAAATGTGGAGAATAAAACATGTTACTGAACAACCAGTGGGCCATCAAAGAAATCAAAGGAGGAAGTTAAAAAAATTCTCAGGAACAAATGAAAAAAGAAATACAATATACCAAAATCTGTGTGATGCAGCAAAAGTGGTTCTACAAGGAAAATTCATAATAGTCTAGGCCTACCTAAAGAAACAAGAAAAATGTCAAACAACAACTTTACATCTCAAGGAACTGGAAGACGAACAAACATCTCAACGTTAGTAGAAGGAAGGAAATAATGACAATCAGGGCAGAATAAATAGAGATTTTTAAAACTAGTGAAACTTAATAGCTAGTTCACTGAAAAGATAAAATTGGCAAACATTTAGCTAGACTCACCAAGCAAAAAAGAGAGTGCTCAAGTAAATAAAATCAGAGATGAAAGAGGAGAACTTAGAACAGACACCACAGAAATACAAAGAATCCTTAGAGACAACTGTGTATAATTATATGTCAACAAAGTAAAAGAAATAAATTCCTAGAAACAGTAAATCTTTCAAGACTGAGTCAGAGAGAGAAAATCTAAATGAACCAATTACTAGTAAGGAATTGAAT